TGAAGGCTGGACTCGAACCGCTGAAGCGTCGACCATTTCTGGCCAGCAACTTTCAGCGTCATTAAGCCGCTGCACCACCGCGTCCCCGTACTGCATAATATTTTTGTTGACAAAACATGAAATCTAGCTTTTGAAAAGGCTATTCAATATTTCCTTAAATGTTAACTGCTAAGGTATAAAGGCAGCTGAAAAGTACAATTGTCATTTACTCCAAAGGTTGGGGAGGAACCTGGGACTTTAGCTTTCACCATTAATTCCTGTACTGAGTTGTCCCATAATCATTGTTTAATACAATAAAACGGAAAGTCATATTAGTAATCAGGATCAACACTAATCTGACAAATATTTTGAGCCATCTGTTTAAATCAAGTATCTATATAAGAATCATTTTGGATTTCACACAGCAATCTTTCCTTGCTTGATTACCTTGGCACTACTTGATTCGGGCCTCCAGTTGGCAATTCAAGCCCAGTCTAGTACATGAAAGAGGAACAGCATCATCTAAATACGTATAACAAAGCAACATTTTCCTTTTAGCTAATCATGGATGTCAACCTGAAGTAATGTAGTCTTTGAATCATTAATGTAGATATTAAATAGCATTGGGACCAAAATACAACTTTGCCTTACCCCCTTATTCATTACTATGTTGCCTGCATGTAAGACACCTGTCAGGAATCAAAGGTGGCCTTAAAGCCTATAAAGGAGGCAAACAGTTTGCCTTTCAGAAAAATAGAAAATTTTCCTGCCAGGTAGGCTAATATAAAACATCGGTCAACTGTCGATTTGCCTTTTCTGAAAGTGCTCTGAGCATTTGTTAAAACAGAGTGGTAGAAGGTTAATTTTTCATTTAGATATCTAGCATAGAGTTTTCTCACAATGGGTAGCAATCTAATTGGCCTATAATTAAGAGGGTCTTCCATAAATTCCGGTTTAATCTCCCCAGGCTGGTATAGGGCTATAATATTTCCCCTGTATAAGAAATGAAAAATGGAAGACCCTGTTAATTATAGACTGATTAGCTTTCTATCAGTTTTGGGAAAACTCTATGTTAGTGATCTAAACATTAGGGCATGCATTATGATGTGGTATGAGATAAAGGTAACTGGGAAGAAGATTTTACTAGAGTTATGGTGAATACTTCATAAAATATTCAGTCCTTGTGGAGCAATTGTATAAAATATAATTTCACATTAAGAAAGGAAAGAAAATTTAGAAAGAGTTAATATAATGAATAGGCACGTGTGATGAGATAAAACTTAGCATCCTGTTCTGGTTAATGCATCTCTATAGTATTACATAGTCATTGCACATTTCTAATTTGCTTCCTTGTTCAGCTTATAAAGGAAAAACCCTGATTACTCTTCTTAATTTACTGTAGTTGCTGATAGCATCACAGAATGTACACATCCCTCCACTAATTAAATGAAGGAAAAGTCCCAGAGAGATTATATATCTAAAGGCAAATAACTTTCCTGCAATTCCAAGAAAACTTTTGAACTGGTCACTCCACTTAATGCTTACCACCCTCAAATAAGCCAAACCATACACATATTCTCAAAATAAATATTAATTTTCAGCATGATGTGACTGCAAAAAATAGTTATTAATATATTAGGCTGCATAATAACTTTCAAATCATGAAAATTCTTTTTTTCTGCACATATCTTTGGTTCTGATTCTACATTTTCAGGACATGGGCATACTAGAACTGAATGGAAGAAAAAGATAAAGGGTATGGAAAACAAATCCTATGGGGAAAGGCTGAAGAAATGGGTTATATTTAGCTCTGGAAGCATGGGCATCCATAGGGGTGGGAATATCACACATTTCATGACATCATGACATATGGCATTATTATAGCTTCCAATGAATGCCTATACCTGAAAGAGAGATTATTAGGGTGTGGTAATAATCTTCAAACACTTTTGGCTGAACCTCAGAATTTCTTAACAATAATAGGTAGACAACAAAACCAATGTAGGGAAAAGATCAGCAATTGCACCCTGGGTCTCTTCAAACCAAGGCTAGGTGGGGTGATTCTTACATAGCATTTGGTTGTTGGATTTGATGCCTTAGAAAGTGTCTTCTATGTGTTTTCTCATACCTAGAAATCATTTGCACTGTTTAATTTTCTTTAATACATTTTGCTAAGGATTGATCCAATTCTAAGCAATAAAATTAATCAACGTACAATTTCCCTAAAATCTGATTTATTGGAAGATTTAATTGTTTAACACAACTCTGATTTCATAGGATATTCCACATCAGAATTTTTACAGCAAAAATATCATCACCTTCTGAACTTCCATGATAGATTGATGGTTTGGAGGAATCAATACAGCTGCTAAACCAGTTACTTACTTTTAAAGGAATTGAAGAAAGTTAATTTCATTCTTTGGAATAATGTGCTTGAATGTTCTTACAGAATGTTAAATTAGCATTTTTGAGCTTAAACAAAAGTTAATATAACAAAATGTTTCAAGTATATTGGACACTTTAGAGTATGGTTAATTAGCGTTGGTTGCCGTCATCTTTTTGTTGGAGAAACTTGAACACTAATGTGTGTGTTTTGGAGTTGTCCTATTGTTGCCACAATTTGGGCTGAAATTAACAGGATTGTAGATGTATATTTAGATCACTGTGTATCAATGACCCCTACATTCTTGTTGGGTACATCCCCAATACTTGGAATTTGTCAAGGCATCAAAAACTCTGGTCTTTGTGGGCAGAAGGGATGATCCAAAGGATTATTACATGCTGGAAGGAAAGATCTACAGTTGATTTGTTGATAAGTTTTGTTTGTCAACATTTTACTTTTCTTCTTTTTTCTTCAGAAAGGGAAATGAATTTTCAAGCAAATGACAAATAGTGATATGACTCAATAGTTGGGTTCACATACCACACATAAAGTTGTCCCCTGGGGGAGTCATTATTCCCCCAGAGCTGATTGAACTAAGTATTGACTGGTGGACACAAGTTTTAGCAGGTCTGTTTATGGTTATAAATCACCCATTAAAAATGCCCTCTCTTATTGTCCCTGTATTTAAAAAAGGAGATAGGTCTGATCAATCCAATTATCACCCAATCAACTACAATGCCATCAACTAATTGAAAATGTCCAACATCTAATTGAAAATCATATATCTCCTCCTAGAAGTCCTTGTATGTGGTATTTATTGATTTTAAAACAGCCTTTGACTCAGTCCAGAGAACAAGTGTAGTCCAAACTGGAAATGCCATCTATTGCCACATATTTGCTAGCACTCATTAACACGCTGCATAACAACACTCACATCCAAATAAGGCTTGACAATCAAGGTCAACTTTCTGACCTGGTGCCTACTTACAAGGGTGTAAAGCAAAGTTGTATTCTAGCCCCTGATATTTAACTTTTACATTAATGATATGGTGGCAAGACTTACAAAACTAGAACATCATCTTCAAAATCTGGCCAGAAGACCTATTGTATTACTCCTATATGCAGATAACACAGCCATTATCTCTACATCATCCATTGGTTTGAGGTGAGCACTAAAATCATTTCCCTCCTACTGCATAGACATTTTAGTTATTAAATAAACAAAAATTATGGTCTTTTCAAAGAGGCCCGTTAGATGTAATTATAGATGGCAAGTAAATGGGGATAATATTGAAAAGTTCAGGCCTTCAAATACCTTGGAATTGTTTTCCATGCCACTGCTTGTGGAAGCCCCAAATTCAATCTCTAAAAGAGAAGGTCAGAAGAACTGTAGCTGCCACTGTAGGTCTTTTTTCGCATGATAGGAGATAATTACATACCCGGTACATTAAAAGTGTTTGAGGCCAAAGTAGTACGGCTGTGTGATGGCTTCCAGATATATGCCTACAAGAATTCTGAGCCATTAGAAGTTGTTCAATCAAGCTTCTTAAGGAATGTTTCTGGTTCCTCATTGTGGAACTTTGGGCTGAGGCTGGAATGATTCCAGTTAAAACTTGTGCCCAAATAGCTACTGGCTCAAACTAATCATAATCCAAGTCGCCTGGCTTTTTTGACTCTTCAAGACAAATTCCAGAGTCCTTGGTGGAAACTACTTGGTGTCACTCTACGTTATGGTAGACTTTCCACTGATGTATTCATTCCAATGGGACTTGATCAGGCCAAAGCATCTTTCAAGCAATGTGCCAATTCATATGCTGCTTAGTAGTTTACATATTTTATATTCAGGAATCCCCCCCTCACCTGTATCACCTCTCTTTGCCTCCCCACCCCCACCCCAAACATAATTTCAAACATTGTTCAAAACCAAGGGTGTTACACTCTGGGATAATTTATCCTCCTCTAGTTTAGCTCCTCCTGAACTGAAAATTAGCTGGGATGCTGCCTTTGGGATATCAGTCTGAAGTGGAGACTGGTGTACTTGTGGTTACCCAGCCATTGCTAAACTACAATTTATATTAATGCCAGCCAATGTAATCAATAGTGAATGAAGTTGGGGGGGGGTTACTTCAGTAATAGCAGAGGGCGCAGATCCTTTACTTCAGTTTCTGTAGAACAGTGTTTCTCAAACTTGGGAACTTTAAGATGTGTGGACTTCAACTCCCAGAATTCCTCGGCCAGCATGGCTGGCTAGGGAATTCTGGGAATTGAAGTCCACACATCTTAGAGTTCCCAAGTTTGAGAAACACTGCTGTAGAGAATAAGGAGATTTGACAGAGATTTGAATGAACCCTTTTTTGATTTCGTGGTCTGGTCTAACTAGTGTGGCTGACAGTCACAGAGATGGTTTTCTCCTAAAACAGGACCTCCGACTTCAGATTATTCAAACTATCAACTATATAATTGATCATATTCAGTTTCTGTATTTCAGTTAATCGATATGCTGGTTAGGGACAATGAAAGTCAAGATAAAATTTCCACCACTCTTGACCTGGACCCTCAGTACCAGACTGGGGTAGGTGATCCAAAGCAATTCCTATCCCACCTCATAGGTCAAAGAAATAGGCAAGGAGTTCCTCAAATGCTTTTTATTTCAAAGGACCAATACTTTCCCCACGTCCTTCTTCCAGGAGAAAAGTGATTCAGGCAAATCCCTACTTCTAGCTGCCTTTTGCCTTCATGCTTGCTATCATATCATGCACCTTCTTATTCAGGGCTCCTCCGTGGACCCCCTTTTTGCCCATGAGAAAGATAAGAGCTTTGGAAGATTTCCCAATGCAGATGGACCTGCTGTCACCACCTTTGGTTCTGGTGTCCATGACAGCATCTTTCTCTACTAGCAAGTTGTCACGGATCACACTACACTTTTTTCCAGCGATGGTGATCCCAGTCTGTAGGAAAGACTTTCTATCCTGTCCAGTGATCAGCCCAACTTCCTGGGGAGAGATAGCTGCCAACAGACCTCCTGGTTTAGATGCCCATACAGACTTATTGTCAGAATGTCCGACAATTGCTACATCTTCAATATTCTTGTCCTTCAGGATTGTATTGATGTAAGCTTTCCAGTCTCCCATGCTGGTTCAACTCTTGTAGCTTCTTTTCCAAGTACTTCTCCTCTCAGGACTTGGGATATTTTCCAGTTAATCCTAAAAACAAAATCTACATGCATTTAAAGAAATCCACATGCTTTCCCCAGGGTATCCCTGCCATGCCACTGTAACTTCAGGTGATGCAATTAATTCTTCCAAAATATCATTTTGGGGCAGCTAGATTACTTCCATATTTTTTCCTCATAAACAAAGGGTACTGTTTTAACTTCTCCTCTAGAAACTGAAAATGGGTTGATTTTCCCTTTTTTAAAAAGTCAAAATTTGGGGAAATTTAAAGCCTCCCCCACATCTCTAAAAGCAAGAAGCCCCCAAAAATGGCAGAACATTTTGTCCCTGCTCACTCTAGAAATGACATCACATTACTGCCCCCCCTTTTTAATACAGCATCTAACAGCACCCCCCACCCCAAAGCTTCTATATCTGTATAGCTATATAGACTGCCTGCATCAAAACGGATTGCAAGGCAGTTAAAGGAATGTAATAGAATTACCCCAGATGGTTTCCCTTCAGAATTCCCAATCAGGGCATAAAAGAACAAGCATCTTGGTTCAAATCCCCACTCAGCTATTAAATGTGCAGTTTAGTCTGTCTTGCAGACTTATAAGGCTTTGAACAGATGCAAAAATGGTGTTAATTCCTAAAAGAAAGATGAAATGAAGATGTAATAAATCATGGCTGCATTCCCTTTTTATGTCTCCCAGAGCCCATTTGGATCATTGTTTTGAAAACGGATGGTGGTGGTTTTTCCTATTAGTTTTAGGTAGGAAACCAACAAAACTGTAGAAAGGTAAGCTGTTCCTGTTATCATTTTGTCATACCATGTTGAAGCCAACTTCATATGCAACGCATCCAGTAGCCCAGCCAGGAAGTTACCATGATAAGATTATTTCTATACAGAAATAGTTGGTGAATCAGCACAGCTGCCAAAAGTACTTTCTATGTCACAACCCCAGTTGGACCCCTAAAAATAACTATGGAGAGAAAGACAAATCCAGTTCGAAACTGTGAACCTTTTCATCTAGGAAGAGTATACCTCATAGGGAACTAGCTGGTTACCATCTCCCCAAACATAGGAAAAACCTACTCGCAGTACCTCCAGGTATAACATCAGCTTGAGGAGTTCTGCCAGCTGGGATGGAAGGACTCGAAAAAGACGCTTCCTGGAAAGTGGAAACTGAAGTTCCAGCTCAGGAGTCTGGGCTCATAGAGAGCAAAAGATCAGTCTTCTGGGCACCTCAAATCTCAGGTGTCAAAAAGTTCAGCAGAGATCACACCCACCTAGCCAGCCAAAGGCACTCTGAGCTCACAAGACAATTATTGTTGTGTTTATGCTTCAATTGTTGCTAAGGCACCCATTGTGATGTCAGAAGTATCTGTGCCCACTGCATGCAACCCTTTATGACCTCATACCACCAATGATAGCAGAAATACTCTTCCTTCTTTCCAGCTGTCTTGAAAGGAACAAAAATGTTTTTTTGCATTTCATTTTTCCAGGATGTGTACGGTAGTGCAGGGATGTAGAAACTGAGGCTTCAAGGTTTCATATGGCTGTCTCAAGTCTGCGGTGTAATCCCCACAGCCTTCCTAAAGTTACTACTGAACTGTAATTTTTAACGCATATGTATTTATTTGTATTTATATATATTTAATGTATAGGGCTTGTTTTTGTAGTTTGGCTTTTTAATTAATTAATGGGGTATTTATTTTTTAACTGTTTGTGGGTTTTACTTTCATTGTGAGCCATCTGGAGTCACCCACTGGGGGAGATGGGTGGCATACAAATTTAATAAATAAATAAATAAACTCTTCACCCCCTATAAGGTTACAGACAAATATCTCTTCATCCCATATCCTATCCCTTATCTATAAGCAAATCCATAAAACATCAATTTCTCAATCCTGGTGTCAGCAAAAAGTCCATAAAGGCTTGCCAGAACTTTGCAAAAAAAAAAAAAAAAAGGTCTTTGATCAAATAATGTAACTTTATATTCCTTCCTTTTACTTGTAACAGTCTTAATCTTTAATTCAATCAAATATTGTCATAGGATTTGATTTCTTTTCTATTCTTCTTTATCCCATCACACAGGTTTCTTCAAGGTTTTAACAAGCCTCTTTTGTAGATCCAATAAAAAAACATTTTCCAGATCATTCTCTTGTTTTATCATTTGTATTTCCCTTTTAATTTTTAA